TCTTACCTGCTTGCCAAAGACAGGTAAGCCCTCCCATTCACATCCACATCCCCCTCCTGACAGGTGGGCATCGAACCCTCCAATATAGAAGGTTCTCCTGCCTTCCCTGGGAGCAAGCTCCATTGATGAACAGCTCTTTCAATAAATCCCTCCAAGTGTTTAGCCGAAATCCCATTCCTCACAATTTGGCTCCATCGTTTCGAGCCCTGTCGGAACTCCAAGAGAGCCGACACGCTCCCTCTTCTTCATGACAGCCCTCTTCAGATATGGAAGGCTGAATACCTCGGAGATGGGCTGGCATTAAAGCTGAAAGCATGGTAGTGTTGCAGGGAAGTGATTGGAGGCAGTCCTTCTGTGTTTGTGGATGTGCAAAGGAATCCCCATGCTCAAGTCCAGGAAGGCTAATCTCCAAACACAGCCAGCTGATTTGCATAATCTCGGAGGAAATAGCAACAACCCTCGGATGCTCACATTAGTTCAAGATCTCCCTCTTCCAGTCACAAACTATGTCTTCACCTGTGTTTCTGGTCTGAGGCTAAATATACCCTGCTCCCTCAACCAATGATCATACGACCTGGTTTCCCGAACTTTCCCTCTCTCAGAATTGGAGGGACTGTGAAACTAGTTCCCACTGTCAAGACCCCTTGCGGCCGTCCTTCAGCCACGTGCCTCCCACTGACCCGGAGATGGGAGGATTCAGGGTGAGTGGACGTAGGGAGATATTACGAGTCCTGGCTGGGAATGTTTCACTCCCCAACATGCCCTCCACTCTGCATGGACCATTTTGCTCTAGGGACCTTGATCTAAGACAAAGATCCCCTAGCCTGCATGACTAGGAAGGAAGGTTGTGTGTACTCGTCTAAAAATACACACGTTTACCCTGGTTCTGCCTCCTGTTGGCTATTGTGCCTTCAACCTCATCAACTAGCATGGGCACCATCTATCACCAAGATCCATTCTTATTTATGTATATCCTACATATGATGATTCTATCCCACCTTTCCTTGAATGAAGATGCCCACCCACCCCTGCCATCCCACTTCTCAGACAGACATTGGGTTCTGGTGCCCCTCAAGGGAGCGCCACCTTAAAGACAAAATATAAGCACTTTTTATTCCTTGGAATCTAATTTCTGTACCCAAAGAGGGGGCCGAGTCCCACACAGCAGCACTGGTGAGCGTCAAAACTTTACTGCCAGCAGCTTTTGGAAACACTTTTCTCTTAGAAATCTCTCAGCCGTGTGGGTTGGCAGTGATGATTACCCCTTGCCTGCAGATCAATGCAAGACACTGAGCGCTAATCCCTCCAGCCTAAGGGCATTGTGAGACATGCAAAAGAGTAGTGGCATCTTAAAGCCTAATTGATTTATTTCAGTGTGAACTTTTACAAGTTACAATCCACTTCCTTGGACAAGTGGAACTAAATAAGTTAAAAGTATATACATACATGGAGTGAACGCTGGAGAGGTGAGGCCCCAATGAGGTGGGAACAAGAGATAGAAGTCCATTTCTGGTGCCGTAACCCTTTTATTTTTGCTACACATAAGAACCTAGGAAGAGCGCTGCTGGATCAGGCCAAGGGCCCATCTAGTCCAGGTTCCTGTCTCTCACAGTGGCCCCACCAGATGCCTCTGGGAGCCCATGAGACAACAAGAGACCTGTCTCCTGATACCCTTTCCCTGCATCTGGCATTTTGAGGTACTTTCCTTTTGAGCCTGGAGATTATACATCTCCATCATGGCTGGTAGCCTGCGATGAACTTTTCCTCCAGGAATTTGTCAAGTCCCCTTTGAAAGGCATCTAGGCCAGATGGCATCACCACATCCGGTGGCAAGGAGTTCCATAGACGAACAACGCACTGGGTCAAGAAAGATTTTTCTTTGGTCTGTTCCCACTCTCCCAGCACTCCATTGGAGTGGGTGTCCCCTAGTACTGGTCTCACATGAGAGGGAAAAGAGCTTCCCTACACAGACTGACAAGACAACCTCACTGTAAACAGAGAAAGAAGGAGACCCACTTCCTGTATGCCTTTCTTCTATTTACAGCTCTGAGCTGACCATGGGGAAACACCAAAGGAGCTTCATCTGTTTCATTATCTGTTACTGCGGTGTGTTTGTGCATTCACACATGCACGTGGTCACCTTTGGATGGATGCCTGTCCATTCGCACATGCATGGAACCGGACAGACAAAAGCAGGAAAATGATTTCATCATGCGTGTGAGTTTCAGGGCGGTTGCGAGCAGTGAGCTCTCTAACACTGGAGGCATTCAAAAGAAAACTGGACCACCCTCTGTCAAATCTGCTTTGCTTTGGATCCCTGCCTTGAGCAGGGGGTTGGACTGGATGGCCTTATGGGTCCCCTTCCAACTCCATGACTTTATGATCCTATGAGTGAATAAACCAAATGTCCAGCTTTGGAGCCACAATCAACAACACGAATCAGTAAAATGACTAAACCCACACATACACCACACACACTGTGGCACATTAAAGACGAACATCTTCATTGGCGCATCTGAACCTTCTCAGCCTTGACACCCATCAACTGTTGAAACAGCCAATGGCAATGGTATCTGGGGATGATGGTATCTGTGGTCCGGAAAATCTGGAGGGTGTTGGGTTAAAGGAAGACTGAGACTAGCAGCCACTTTGTCAGCAGGCTCTAGTCCAAACTGCTCTGTCGCAAAATAAACACCCTTGCCTCTAAGTCACCACACGCTCTTGCTTCTTTCAGCTGCAAAAAAATGGAGGCTGCTGTTTGGCGCGCCACTCACACAGGAATTAAATCCCACCAAACTCCATGGAACTGGCTTCTGAGTCAGTGAGTGCAGGACGGCGCTGTGGCATACCAGCCTCTGAGAAGCCGTAATGAATGTGGGTGAGAAAAAGAGAACGGCACATGGCTGGCGCATGGAAACACCTATAGGTAGGGGAAGGAAGCTACCAAAAGGAATAGTTCACCCTTCCAATTGTGTCCACCAGGGATGGGGAGCTGAGTGGCAGGACTCCCTGGCAAGTCAGGCTTCAGTCACACCAGCTTAGACCTGACTTATTATTCATTTATTACAAATATTTTAGTCCCACTTTTCTCCTTGAAAAGGAGAGTCCTTCAATGAGTGAGATCCGAGTTGCAACTCAGAGCTACCCACTCCTTCCTCTTTTGCTGGGGGGAAAGCCTGCTTTTAATAGGGACTTGGGGCTTGTTACCAAATATTCAGACTTGGGACTTGTTACCGAAGACTCAGACTTGGGACTTGTTACCAAAGACTCAGACTTGGGACTTGTTACCAAAGACTCGGACTTGGGACTCGGACCTAAAGACTGGCTGACATCCCCAGTGTCCATTCACAGACTTCTTCACACTCGTGTGCCACAGCAGATGGCCAAAGAGGTTGCAGAACTGGGAAGTCAAGTAGAGACTGATCCTGCATTTTACAGGATACATATTTGTTTCCTTCGAAGTCTCCTAGTTGTCTTGGAATACCAAAGACTCAGACTTGGGACTTGTTACTAAAGACTCGGACATGGGACTCGGGACTTGTTACCAAAGATTCGGACTTGGGACTTGTTACCGAAGACTCAGACTCGGGACTTGTTACCAAAGACTTGGACTTGGGACTCGGACCTAAAGACTGGCTGACATCCCCAGTGTCCACTCACAGACTTCTTCACACTCGTGTGCCACAGCAGATGGCCAAAGAGGTTGCAGAACTGGGAAGTCAAGTAGAGACTGATCCTGCATTTTACAGGATACATATTTGTTTCCTTCGAAGTCTCCTAGTTGTCTTGGAAGTTCTGGATGAGTGCATCCTGAGCATCAAGTAGACCTCGATTAGAACCAGAATAGACCAACAGTCCCACAACGTATTCCAGCTGGTCCCTGTTTGACCCTTCCATTCCACAGACAGATTTATAAGCTGTTGATTCTTATCCCTTGTTTACTCAATTATTCAAATACTACCCCATATATGAAAAAGGGGGTTGTACATCTTGAAAAATTCCAACAGTGAGATTTTTAAAAATGGAATTAGAAAACTTAAAGCCTGTTCTACCACTGTGCGCTGTACATGCGCAGGCACGCATGTGTTTGTAAGCTGATGTACATGTGCGCATGCGCATGACTGGGGGAGGACTCTAAACCAAGTTGTCCTGTGGCTCTCCAGAGATTTATGAATGACCGTTCCCATCCCACCTGGTCATCGGCCAGGCTGACTGGTGGATGATGGGAATGGGAGTACAACTACATTTGAAGTGCCACACAGGTTCCACAGCACATCTCAAACCACTAAACAGAAGTCACGCCACACTCCGCAGATGCTCAGACGCACTCTCGCACCTGTTTAGTCCTGGTTCCTATCCCTTCCCATCTCCCCAACATTCAAGAGGCTGAGCAAACAAATCCTTCTGAACCCACAACTTTCTCCCAATTCAATGCCTTCTAGTTGTGTTGGTCTGTTGTGTGCCATCAAGTTGCATATGACTTTTGGGGACCCTATGAATTCATGACCCCCCCCAAAAAAAGGTATTTTCCTGGGCAGCCCTTGTTTAAGTCTTCCTACTCCAAACCATGGCTTCCTTTATTGAATGAATCCATCTCCTGGCGGGGCTCTCCTCTCTTCCTACGGCCATCCACTTTCCCCAGCATTGCCGTCTTTCCGGAGAGACCTTGTCTTCTCATTCTATGCCACAAATAGGATCGCCTCCGCGTAGTAATTTTTTGCACCCAGAAGCGCTTGAGTTGGCTTGGAACCACACCTCTCACAACAATCCCTAGCCAGGATGGAGATTGTAGTTCACGCCTCGGAGAGGTGAGCTGGGCAGTTAAGGACCGACACTCATTCCTAGGGTCACCATAAATCGGTGGCAATTTGATGGCACGAAACAGCAAACATGAGGACCCCGCTGATTCGAGAAAGGTGCTTCTCCTCGTGGGTCTGTGTAGTTCCAGCGGCCCCGGGCCAATCTCCCCATCACCCCTCCGCCTCTGAAGCGCCTTTTACCTCCAAGGTCCCTCGGCGCCCTTCTCGGAGGTTTGCGCGCCCGCGCTGCTCCTCTTCTCCCGAGGAAGACCCGGCGCGCTTGTGCCAAACTCCGCAATAGCCGCGCGGGCGGACGAGCCAGCCGGGCTGGCTTCCCGGCGTCCGCTCCCTTAGAGGTGCCCTCTTTGCTCAACCGGGCAGGATCAGGATCAGACCGCGGAGAATTCCGCCTTTCCTCTCCTCCGCCCCAGCGCTGCCGACGCGGGCGCGACCGGTCGCTCCGCCTGCCCGGCGCTTCTGGATCCGTTGCGTCCGAGCGCGCAAAGGCGCCTCCGCCGGTTTCCTCTCTCTCTCCCCCTTCCTTGCGCACGTGGCTATCAG